TGGTATGTTATAAATTAACTGTTTCTATACAGCGATATTCATATAAATGTTTAATTTTTGTTCATACATATACTAAATGTTGTTTTGGAATTTTTATATTTAAAAAATATATACACAAATTTTTCTTAATGAAATTTGATTGAAGACAATTAAAAACGGTTATCTATCTATCAAGTGATTATTATTATTGCGGTTTTTGCCAATTGTGGTTTACGAAGTCAAAGTCAACTGTGTAAGATTTGAGAAATTTTTTTCTGTACTAAATGATTGTACAATATGATAGTGTATTTGATATATAGCACGTAACTAAATTAAACCATATTTTTACCTTTGGGTTTGATTAAAATGCAATAATACCATTCACATTAGCTTTCTTTATGTGTGCACTAATCAACTATTTTTGGGTTTAAAACGTCTGATTTTGGTTAAATTGCGATTCAGTTACATGTCAAAGAATGTAAATATTAAATTACTTTAAATATGTAAAGTAAATATTAGTTTAAATATTAAAGTTTAAGCTATTGGGTGCCACATTCTTTAACACACTCGACGATATTTTTAACTTTAATATTCTTCAGTTACTTACATTTATCAATATGTCGGGCTAATTCTAATATGCTTATCCTTCTACTTTGAATTACGAGAAATGTGGAATCAACACGGTTTTAGCTAATTGATTCGATCCTCTTTCCATTTCTTTCCACTTGTTAATTTTATTTTTGTTTAACTATTATTCCTTGTCAATAGTCACTGAAAACGATCAGTAACATCTTTCTATTTATAAGTTATTTTTTGTCATTTGACTTTAATATATTTCATAGTATATATTTAATAAAATTGGATAAATTAACCCTTCTGTCAGTTCTCAAGATTACTGACACGTTTTTATTTAAAAGTAATTTTCTGTAATATAAATATATATATATATATATATCAGATCTTAAGATCGACCCTAATCCGTGGTATCACAACGGGTCATTAGTTGTGCTCAAGTAGTCTTTGGACACAAGACCGCCACTCCAACCTAATCTAAATTATGGTATATTGTGGTGTATATATATATGGTATATATATATGATATGTATATAATATATATATACATATGATATGTATATAATATATATATATGTATATGATATGTATATAATATTTATATATATATATGATATGTATATAATATTTATATATGTATATGATATGTATATAATATTTATATATATATATGATATGTATATAATATATAAATATATATAAAATATATATGATATATATAGTCAAGTTTCCATAACTCGAAGAAAAGGTTCGACTTATAGAGACTTCGAATTAAAGAATTTTTTGGTAGTTGTATGTAATTTGTCCTCTAAACCCTGTTTATTTATTAATAAAAGTGTAGACGTAAAAATTGCCCCAACAGCCGATACTGCGGCCAGAAAAGTCCTATTGTACCATTTTTTTTTGTATTTTAACCCTGTTTAATTAGAGTTATAGAAAATTCGAGTTATAGAAGTTCGAGTTATGTATGGAAGTTTGACTGTATTTGTATTTTACCGTTAATTTCTTGAAATTTATGTGGGGTTCGTTTCACGTAGACGCGCTAACACCGGTTTCTACCATCTACCATAGTATATCTGGAATATTGAATGTAAATGACCTTAATAAGTCATAAACAGGAAATTTGCAAAAAAAAAACTAAATAGTTTACTTTGTTGTTTCTAGGAAAACATCTGTTTTGTCTTGTTTTCATATCAGTCATCACTTATTCATTCTTCAAATCATAGAGAAGAAAAAAAACAAAGACTTAAATTAATTCCATACGTAATATTTTATTTTCTGAAATCATCAATGAATTCTGCTAATTAATAAAATAAAATTAAAAAAGAACAAAATCATTGTGATGAAATGGGATTTTCCCAAAAATGCTAAATAAACAACTTCAGAACGATCAACTACGATACGTCGATAAACACGAATTTAGTTTAAAATTAGTAGTACACACACTCAACCGCAAACATTTACGTACGTACATGTTTACCAACAAGTGTATATGATGAGTGTGTGTGCATGGGTGTGTGTGTGTGTGTATGAATGTGTCTAAGCACTTGTTGTGTTAAGTCTGCCACTAGTAAATTTACGCTACTATTTCACTTTCAATGTCATCAACATGTTTCGCGACTGACACGAACGACACACAAACAAATCGTAAACATTAACATATACGGCGGCGGAATATTGAAGCCGAAAACGCGAAAACGCTGTGCCTGCCTGCACGGAAGTTCGCATGATTCTTGACATGTTTTCGCACTACCGCTTAATTTACCTCAAAAAAAGAAAAAACGAAAAAAAAATTAGAAGAATCTTATTTTTCACAATATTAAAACACATTATGAAAAATTGTTTTTTTTTTATTATCAAAACTTGTTTAGAGAGGTTTTCATTCATAAAATTTAATTATTGCGCAAATAAGTTAAAGTGCTTTTAAAATTATCTCCTACAATAACAACAAATTGAAATTCAACAAATAAACAAAAAGGCAAAGCAAATAAAATAATACAAATGCAAATGCAAATACAAATACAAAAATAAAAACAAAAACTGAATTATTTCGCAAACACATTAACAAAGATTGCTGTTGTCTATTTCATTGACTAAAAGACGACAACGACGTCGACGACGACGACGTGAATGACTTTTGTTCTTTACTGATAAGCTCGTATCAAACAGCTGTGCCAATATCAATAATAACAACACAAGAATTTAATATATGCGTTTGTTGGTGGTATATGTCGTACGATGTAGACATGTATACATGTGTTGTGTTGTGTTGAATTGTGTTTACAAACATATATTATGTTTATATACACAACAATGCTTGCAATATTTACTTCCTTTGCTATTTCTGCTACATGCGACGTACCTTCACACTTTCATGCAAATCAATCGTCCTACGTCCTCTGCTGTTGCGATTATCCGGTGATTATATTTCATTTCCGCTTATATACCATTTTCTATAATTCATTCATGCATTCATACGTTCATTTTTCATTCATACAAATCATTCACTATTATATGAGTATAGTTGTTTGTATGTATTTATTTACTATTATAAAAGACGAGAACCAACAATGACTTTGTTGGGTTGGTGTGGTATGTCTCCTTATCTATTTAGCAAAGGCGTGCATATATACCACTATATATACATATATGTATATATAGCTAAATCAAGAAGAAAATACATATATATACACATATATATGTATTATAGAAAAACCACGCAAAAATTATGCTAACTTTCTATAATAGAAATGATTTAGTTATTTCCTCTGCTGGCGGCTACACACTCATATAACACTCATAAGCTTATCAGTAATAAAATTAATTTGTATTTAATATATTTATTTGCATATAAATATTTACTAAAAACCAAAATTTATAGAATCAAAATGAATATTATTGTTAGTATAAATATTTGTGCAAGTATATTCAGGTGCTTCAACTGAATTTAGTATCATTTTAGTGTGTACTTACTATATTATTAGTTAATATATAATTTGCTGATATTTATTTTTTTTTTGTGTTGATTTTATAACACAGGAAGTCACGTTTTCATTTCCTTTTCACCAATTTTTTTTTAATTTTTTTTTAAATTTAGTTTGAATTATAAGATTTACAAAATTCTGACGAAAGTAGTATAAAATTTTGGCAAATTGATTATTTTATTTCGTTATACCTTAAATATTTACCTACTTTATTTGAATGTGTGTATGATTGGCATGGCATGACCATGGATTTTTGTCAAGGTCATATCGTGTACATGCGATGTGTTTAAAATTATATTACCCAGATACTGTAAACAAATTTGGTTAATTATATTATTAAATGTTATATTGTTGTTTATAAAAATGTTTAATATTTTACAGGCGGAAATTGTAAATAATGTAGAATACGTCAAAATCAAATTTCCGCTTTCTTTACTTTATGCACTCACTTCAATGCTTAATAAATTTTTGATTTTTATTTTTGCAAAAATTGTTCACAATTGTCGGTGTCATATTACCTTAACTGATAAAAAATATATTATTATAATTTACTTCAATATTATACTTAATGAACTAAGATTAGTCTAAAATTTCAATAATAGTGTGCATTAGAGATAAATATACACTTAGCTGCAACTATCGGAAATAGATTTATAAACTTCTTAAGAATAGTAAAATAATAAAAGCTAGAAATCAGAGGAATTGACTTATAATGACCCAATGTTGGTACTACATCTCTTAAAATGACAAGACATGTATGCGCAAAGAACCAGATAAAACCTATTGTCAGATCTCAAACTTGAACAGATTCGGTGCTGATGGGTCACTGCTTACTAGGAAAACATGCTATGAGACTGAGCCTAACTTTTAATGAAATTTGTCGTGGGTGTAGCTCTGCGGATAAAAAATTGTACTCCATCATTATCTCCATCAATATTCATCATTGGCTAGGAGAAGATTTAAAATATTTGAGACCCTTTTTCTTACCGTTCTGATAAGTCTGTTTTCCTGTAAAATTACTGATCAAGTTTATAGATTCATCGGGTTGGTGCACTTTCACTTAAATGAGAAAGACGTGCCTTTTGGCTTTTTTTGTACGCTATTCTGTTGACTGCTCTCGATCTAGTCTCTAATCATCCAACGAGGTTAAAAATTCAAATTCAAATAATCATATTAGCGAGATATGAGAATTAAAAACTAACAAAAAAGCGATACTTTATCAAAAAACTAAAAATATTCCAAGTTCCAAAAAAGAAATATTAAATATGCAAAAGCAACACATTCTTACACGGTTATATGACTTAAAGAGATAATTATTAAATATAAAATATAACAAATTTTATTTTTTATTACTTTAATAATTTTTGTAAATTTAATTTAAATTGATAATATTATTAATTCAAAAATCATTACACGATTTATTAGCATCAACACTAAATATGTTCTTTTGTTATATTTTTACAGGAGAAGCAAAAAATTTAACCAGTCGAAATGCGGCCAATACAAGTTGTAGCACACAAGGTACCCGCGATGTCTATTGCACGATTGCACTCGATCAGGAAGAAATTTGTCGAACACCCACCATAGAACGCACACTATCACCATTTTTTGGTGAGGAGTATCAATTCAAAATACCACGACGATTTCGTTATCTATCCGTATACGTTTGGGATCGGGATCGACATATAAAACAAGATAAACCGATTGGTAAAATAGCAATTAAGCGTGAAGAACTGCACATATATAATCATAAGGATCATTGGTTCTCACTAAGACCAGTTGATTCGGATTCAGAAGTGCAAGGTATGGCACACATTGAAATGCAATTCGAAGAGGTACAAACACATGTAAACGAACAACGAATAAATTTAATGAGACCAGGCGAATATGATCGTAACGATATAATCGAAATTGGTCATCATCATCATCAAGCACATCAAAATGATTACAAAGAGAACAGCGAATTAAGTAATATACAGCGCAGCACTTTAAAAGGGCGCAATCTTTTTGGTTCACAAACAGAACAAACCAGTAATTGGAAGAATTCCTCATTAAACAGTGGCAAAAATGCAAGGATTTCAATACGTGTACCAGAATGTGTAGATCTTGCAAAGAAAAATGGTACCTGCGATCCATATGTTGTATTCACAGCTTTCTATACGAACAAACGACAGATAACAAAACGTACAAAAGTGCGTAAGAAAACTGTTAATCCAGAATTTGATGAAATCATACACTTCGATTTATGCATTGAGGCAGATACGAATACCAATAAAACAACAACACATTATGATACTACAAACTCAAATAAAGCTTATACTGTCTATCCAGTAGGCGGTGCTGATCTCTGTGAAATAACTGTCACACTCTGGCATGATGCATCTGGCATGGCTGATAAAGTGTTTTTGGGTGAAGTTAAAATTCCGCTCACAAATAAACAACAGCAAACGTCCTCACTACAATCCAAATGGTATTTTCTACAACCGCGTTCAATTGGCGCCACTACACGTACGCTGGGTACAACACCACGTTCCTGTGCGACACCGCCTGGTACGCGACTTAGTTGTGATAGTACTATTGGTTCGTTGCGTCTTAAATTACTTTATACCGCCGATCATGTCTTCCCACTAGCTACCTACGATGCTTTAATGAATTTGCTATTAGAATCCGTTGATCAGCGGCCCATAACAATATCCACCGTTTCTGTACTTGGTGAGCTGGTATCGTGCAAAACAGATGTAGCGCAACCGTTAGTACGAATATTTACACATACTGATTGCATTGCGTCCATTATTAAAGCGCTAGCTGATCATGAAATATCGAATCATACCAATCCAACGACTATATTTCGCGGCAATACACTTGTTTCGAAAATGATGGACGAAGCTATGAGACTATCTGGATTACATTATCTGCACCAAACACTACGACCTGTACTAGCACAAATTCTTGCTGATAAGAAGCCCTGTGAAATTGATCCTTCAAAGGTGAATAATAGTTCTGCTGTTAATTCGAATTTACATCATCTGCAAGATTATGTGGAACGTGTTTTTGATGCTATAACAAAAAGTGCGGTACGCTGTCCTAAGGTGCTACGACATATCTTTCATGATCTCCGTGAATGTGCTGCAAGGCATTTTCCACGCAATCGCGAGGTGCGTTACTCTGTTGTTTCGGGTTTTATATTTTTAAGATTTTTCGCACCGGCAATACTTGGACCAAAACTATTTGATCTTACCACAGAACCATTGGTATGACAAGCATTTAAATTTATATTACTATGTATATTATACTAATGTAAATATAATTTCTTTTTTAGGACTGTCAAACGAATCGAACACTAACGCTGATTTCTAAAACTATACAATCTCTGGGAAATCTTGTAAGTTCACGTTCCTCTCAACAACCCTGCAAAGAGGAATATACCGGCGAATTGTATAAGAAATTCTGCACAGAAAAGCATGTTGAGGCTGTAAAACAATTTTTGGATATTATATCCACACCTGGTGATGATGTACGCCAACAAAATAATAATCTGCTGCCGTTGACAGGAGTAGAATATGATGAACCAGAGCCAATACTACTTAAAGAAGGGTAAGAAGCATAGTTCTTTTTTTATTATTAAATTATTGTTAAATAGTAAATTTTTCTGTAATAGTAATTATATACTAATTTTTGGCGCTTTTCTAATTATTTTCTCTGCTTTGTTCTCTTCCTACACACACACATATATATGCTTACAACCTACTACAACTACCACATTGCTTACACTCAAATATTCCACCTTACATATATATAATATTTTTATAAACGTACAAAAAATTTTACTAACCTAGAGAGGGGTAAGGATTATTCAAAATTGTTGTTTTTAATTTGTTTTGTTACTTATATTATTTCATGTATTTTTATTTTATTTTAATTAGTTTGTAAATTATCTAATCCTATATAATATTAATTAAAAAATTTACACTACTTTCAGCATGATGGCAAAATATCCACAAGGTAGAAAGCGTTTCGGTCGACGACCTTTTCAAAAATTTAAGCTGCGCTACTTTCGGCTGACCACTAACTCGCTAAGCTATTCGAAATCGAAGGGCAAACAACCCATCTGTGATATTCCCCTCTCGGAAATTGAACGCGTTGAGCAAATTAACGAGAAAAGCTTCAAGATGCAAAACTGTTTTAAGGTAAGACTCAATTGAACCGCACACAGCGTGGGTGGGCACTATTAATTCTAGTTAATGGCAGCGCTTATACAGTAGAAACCTATTATTTAAAATTTGTGTCACACCGCAACTTTGTCATTTATACATTTATATCGAAAAGTCGTAAACGTGCCGCACTGAGTACTCCAATTGTTCTCAGAAAAATAAATGAACAAAAAATTATAAAATAAAATTTATTCACTTTTCGTTGTCATTTGCATAATTGTTACGCGACTTTGTATAGAAATTGCCAGTTTATTGCAACTGTCAAAGGCGTTTAAAGTTTTTAATTAATTTGCAATTATTTGCTAATGTTGAACGTGATTTCTAATTTTATAAAATCGCAAAATGCCACAAAATTATATTTCAATTATTGTATACGATTTCAAACGTAATGTTAATCGCAATAATTATTTATAAAATTTTTTTTTAATATCTTACAATGTTAATTTGTTGCCTACATTCGTGTTTAAAGTTTTTTTTTTTTTATCAAATATCTTAATATGGCAACAATTAAATTAAAGCCGACAATATTATTATATTTTTAAAATCTTCATGAATTGCTAAATATTTGACAATTTGCCAAATATTTGAGTAACAGTTACGTTTGTTATGTGAATTATTTGTGTACACTTTAGAAAATATTGCAAGTCATAATTTCAGTAGACAATTGTATTTAATTTCAAAAATAAATGTCAAAAAAATATTCAAATGGATGTATCAAAATAACTATATAAACAAATTGGGCATGTTTATATATAGATTACCGATTATTTCTCCTAGGGCAAGAACTTACCAATCAGTTGCTTCAACTAAAGCATAACCTGTTCAGCACAACAGCATCAGTTCTGACGGGTCACTGCATACTAGAAATATAAATATCAGAATAGAGAAATATCAGAATAAGAAACGTACAAGCCAGTTACTTTAAGTAAGGCATAACTAGCTCAGCACTTCGGTATCAGTGCTGACGGGTCACTGCGTACTAAAAATAATTGCTATGCGACTGAGTCTACCCTATAATATTTGTCGTGTTGGTAGCACTGCGGATAAAGAGAAAACTGACAGAGCTGTCTTCCTACAAAATTAGGGACTTGGCAAAGTTTATAGACTTGTCAAGTTAGCTCACTTTTGTTTAAACGAGAGAGTCGACATCTAATCTGCGTATGAACAACGCTAATCCACGGTACCACAGCGTGTCATTATTTTAGCTCAAGTGGACTTTGAGCATAAGGCTGCAACTCTAACCTAACTCTAACTAACTTCTTTTATATGCCTTGTCTGCTTCAAACGACTAACATTATTGTTACTCTTAACCAATACGTAGCCTTCTGAAAGAAAAATCTCTTAATTTTCAAAACTGTTGTCGACGTATCTAATTTCCTTGATGGTTTAAAATATATATCTAAGCATTCCAGTTTTCATGATTTCTTAATTCATACGTCAAAGCGCTACTAAGTTTGAAGTATATGTTTTTAGTATCATAACTAAGAACGACAAATCCATAACAGTTATTTATTACCATAAAAGCTGCGCTTGCCTTCTCAATTCGAATGCGTACTTCTTTAGAATGAAGCCATTTCTAGCCTAGTTCTAGAGTTACCCTGTGAATCTATTTTATTATCGCATTACGGCCCTTTGCCCAGTCTATCCTTTTAGGAATGCGAGCAAAAAATTACTGTAAGAGCCATGTTATGTAGAGGCTCATGGGCTTGTCAAAATTGTTACTGGTTTCAATACAAATTATAAAATTGAGAGTGAGAGAAAAAACTATGTCGGTTCAAATTTGATCATGAAAGCGGAGGCCATCTATGCCTCGTCACTTAGGCAAAGCAGTATTGTTCAGTAATAAATATCAGCCTCTAGGTCTTTTAGTAGCAAATTATTGCAATTTCTGTGACAATCTGCATAACATGCATTTTCGTCACCGCTCAAAAGAGCCAATTTTGACGAGCCCATAACACTCTACATAACATGTCCCTTAGTAACGTAGGCGTCACACCGTAATTAACATTTGAAGAGATGTTTAAGCCGTATTAAATTTAATAGAGATCATTATTACTTTAGTAAGGTTTCCTGTTTAAACCGATGTGTCCCACAATTTTCATATGGATTTAACGAGAATTTGATGAAAATGAGGTTTTAAGAAGTTTAATTCAATATTAATCACCAAAGTCTACACCTTTAAGCATCCGTGGTATCACAATGGGTTATTATTTGAGTTCAAGTAAGTTTTAGGCAGAAATCCGCCACTCCAACCGATCTTTACCTAACTTATTTAAGCAATATAATGAGTCCTACTAAAAACTCAGTCTATAAATGACATATAATGTTATTATTTTAGCTTAAGTAGACTTTGGGCACAAGGCCATCACTTTAACTTATCACATTTAAGCAATATAATGAGTCCTAATAAAAAATCAGTCTGTACGTCTAATATATAGCTTTGAAAAACCAAAAAGATATACCCACTTTATATAATTGCAATCATTAAAAGATATATGTGTATATTTTACTGACATATATACAATAGATCGCTGACTCAGTGCGGCATTTTTGACCTTATATCGATTTCAATATCAAGAAATAAGTATTCATATTTCTAACAAAATGTCATGAGAGTTACAATTATTTTCTGTAATTATAATACACGATTTTACTTTCACTTAATTACCTTGTTTACTAACAGTAACACACACGCAATCATACATACATACATACCTAGATGCATGCACATCTTAAACTACTTTTATAAATTAATTTGTTTGTTATTTTATTAATTATTAAAGCATAAATATTCAAGCAACCCACTTACATATTGTGCCCACTGAAAAGCACGCAAACTTGAAGGCTTAAATTATTTATGCAAATATGCGACTGAAATAAATGTAAGAAGAGAAAGAAAATTGAAATGAAAATGAAAATGAAAATAATATAAAAACAATTGTTGTATTGCAACATAAAGACCCACAGTAATATCTACAACCATACCATGCCATACCATACCCAACAACAACGTTAGTCATAAATTCCGACTTCAGCAGACGTAAGTCATACGGAATCTATAAAAGAAAAAAGGTAGCACCACCGGAAACGCATGATTTTGTTTTTTATGCAGTACACATTATTTGCATTTGTGTTATGCATTTGTCATGCTGAGCTCGTATCTGACAAAGAAAAAACAAAAATAAATTAAATGCAAAAATCAGAAAAAAAAATTGATCAAAAAAATCGTACATATTCCTTACAATTTTTTAAAAGAATTTTATCAAAACCGATCAGTTGGGTATTGAAGACAGTTTAAGTTCTTTTATTGTTGTTTGACAGTTTTAATAAAACAGGTATAAGTCTTTTTTTCATTTAATATCATTATCTCTATATTCGTACAGATCGAATTTCAACATTTTTCTAAACTCCTAATGAAGAGAAACGCTTCATAAACCTATATTGTATTCTCTTTAATGCTACTCGTATGATATAATTCCATATGTATCCAGTAGTTATTAATTCTATATTTATCACAAGGTCATCCCGATTGCTTTTAGCACAATGTCTATGGAATGTTATTATTTGTAGAACTGCAAAGAATGGATCCAATGTGTCAAAAAGCAGTAAAGACGTTGAATTTGACAAGAGCCGGTAGTGATTAATTCTATATTTATCAGAAGATCAGTCCTATTGTTTCCAACACAATGTCTATGTAATGTTATTATTTGGATAACTGCAAAGAATGGGTTCAGTATGTTAAAAAGCAGAGTCGTGTCAATTGAAATTGACAAGAACCGGTAGTGATTAATTCTGTATTTATCAGAAAATCAGACATATTGTTTCCAACACAATGTCTGTCTAACGTTATTATTTGAAAGAATAAAGAAAGAAAGAAAACAAAGAATATGTCAAAAAGCAGGGCCGTAAAGACGTTGAATTTGACAAGCGTACTTAATACCCTAGCATATCATTAACTATTGACAATGCAGAACAAATTAAGAAAATGGGAAAATTGCGGAATCATTATCAGGAAAATTGCAATGAATATATATATATATATAACCTATATACTTCGTAAAGGAAATTTATCTTCTTTACAGCGACATCTCTTAAAGTCGCTGAAATAGATATATTGAACATGTTGAATACCTGATCACTCGCATCAGTTGCTTTCGATTTATTCACCCAAAACATGAACAGTTTAAATTCTGAGAAAAGATATTGCATGAAACTCTCAACATATTAGTAATAAGGAACTTTGTTTCTGTCATACGCTGTTACCAAGGGAACATTGTAAAACCTAGTGTACTTTTTCTGGTTCAAAATTAGATTTTCCAAAACATTCTTTTTTTTTTTGGATACTTTGAATATTTTGCGAGCCAAGATATATAAACTTTTATGTCACAATGGGTCTTATTCTTAGGACTTCAATGAGCAAGACATGTGGCGATGTGTATTTTATTTTCATTGATATTTCCAATCCTCTGAATTTCATGACATTCGAACCTAATACATGTAATTACAATCGAGCATTTTAAAAACATTGATTTTTTACATTTTAGCTGAATATTTGGACTACTAAAAAGTGCTCCCATCAATCGACAATTGTCTGATTTATTCTCTAAAAACCGCATTTTAACTATCAAACACATATTTTGGGTGTTCACTTGTTTTGGAGCCATGTTATTTTTATCTTTTCGGAAAAATGTATTTTGCTTCGAAAGAATGGAGTTTTCTAACCTAAAAGCCATCCAAAAAGCGTATACCCCGACCAAGTGAAGTAGTGCCATAACTCCACTTCTATTTATCAGAATATCATGAAATATCAATAAAACTATAAAGGGTCTACCTTAATAGAAAAATTAGGTCGTGGACCAATAGCCGGGCAAAATTTAAAACATAAACATTGAGTTTTCTTTACTACAAAAACTTATTTTTAAAAATGGAATACACTTTGTAATTCTGTCATAGAGACGAGTATACTACGACGACTTTGTACTCAGGTTCAGAACATCCACCCTCTTACTGCAATAAATACTAGACGTTTGGTTTTTGCTTTTTCTGTATTATTTTTCATGTTACTATTATTGTTAAAAAATATAGCACTGCTACTGTAGGTTCTATTGTGCGTCCTTCTGGGTCAATAAAAAATAGTATAGAACGTACTTTACAGAGTTTTATTGCCTCTTCCGTAAGGGTATACATTCCCCTCCTCTATTCCATTTGTGCATTATCGAAGGACATTTTAACAGCACATGTGTGGCTGACTTTTCATTCTCTTCGCAGGATCTTCAGTTTGCATCCGTACATATGCCCAGTTATTTTCCATTTAAAATAGAGAAAAATTTCTTTCAACGCGGACAAAAAAATTATTTTAGAAGAGTAAAAAAATGTTTTTTTTTAATGTTTGGAAAGACTTTCTGCGGTTAACACAAATAAATCAGTTGACTTAAAATGCAAAAATAGATTAAAAAACGCAACTTTCACTTACAATGAAATTGTACTTTAAAATTTCTGTAATAAATTTTATCTACGACTCTGCCATTTTAAAGAATTTTAATTTTAAGCTACATCAGCATAACGAAATTTGTCTCTTCTTCTGTCTTTTTTTAACAAGGAATTAAGAAATTTATTTAAAGGTTTATTCTCTGTGTGCAGCAACAACAATAGTAAAAATTAATATTAGTTTCTATTTTATATTGTTTTCATAGTTCTCATGGGTTTTTTTTTTGCGTAAATTCAAAAATTTGCATTCAACCGAGAAAATTATTGCTGAAGCATAATTAGAGTCTGTCACCACCTACAAATACTGTTCACTATTGTGCAGTTAAAAAAAGAATAGCGAAATCAAAAAAAAAAAAAATATGTTTTATATTACGGACGAAACTACAAAAGATAACACCATACCACCTGGAAAGATTAAAGTCACACGCGAACAAACGCGTCCGTTCCATTTCTTGACTTCTACTTGGTTGTAGCATTAACTGAATGAATTAATGCTAAGTCGATTCATTTTCATTTATGGGAACTAAATACGCAAGGTACTCATGGAGCGCATAATTACGAAGATAATTGTAGGAAAACATCGTAGTAGGCGTTTGCATATTTCAAAATTTCCCTTTTTATGTCTGCAATATTTACAAAAGACACTTTTATGCTACGTTGCTCCATTGAATTTAATTAGCCTGTGATCAGACCTTCATTGTTTCTTGTAACTTTTCTGCAAAGTACATACATCTCTATAGAGTGTCATCATAGAGTGCTTATATTAAATACCGGTAAATTGCATTGGAAGCGTTTGAATCATTAAAAGTAATGTTGCTATTTAAAAGGCCATATTATCCCATTATTTTCGCAAAGAGGGAAAGTTAAGAAATGATTTATGTTATAATAAAAATATTAAAAATAATAAGATTTTCACTTTCCATTGTTAAGCATTATTTATCAATGTTATCAGATGTAATTTGAATAGAAATTGAAATTACACCATGTAATTTCTTCATTTCTTCGAATTCTTAAGTAATTACTATTCATGTTATCGCTTCTTAAATTCATTAAAAATTCATTTTATAGATCTCCAATCTTATATTCTTCTATCCACTGAAATTCTTTAACTTCATCTTTGCTGCCTAGACTCCTTAAAGAATTATTACATTTTTTATCATAGTTCTACAAACTTATTTCTTAAATAGAAATTCCGTTTACACCATATCTTGTATCCACTGCTCCCATGATTCATGAAAGAATTATTGCGTTTGTTAATATAGTTCTAAAATCCTGTTTTTAAATAGAAACTTCAGTTACAATTTATCTTGTGTCCACTGCTCGTTTCTACAAATTCCTTGTCTTCATCGTCATTGTTAAACTCCTTAGAAAAAGGAGTTACTATATTTACATTTGTTACCTTATTTCATAGAATCCTCCCTTTCAAAACAAACTAAAAGTTGCTCTAAAACTTTAAATTATTAAAAAATGGTTCATCTTCTTCTCCGATGCTTAGACTTTTTAAAGGACCATTGCATTTATTACTATAGTATTCTATTATTCTACTATTAGTGGCGTGTTTGCAGTTACATATTATATATCTAATGTTTTCGGAATTTTTCGTACTACCATTTATCTCTTAGAATGAATACGGACTATAGTATTTAAGAAGTGACAATATTTGTAATACAACGATAGATAAATTGATATTTACGAACTTAAAGATTTTATCACGTGCGATACGTAGGCCATTATTTATACTGTGGCCTATTTTGATTTAAAAAAATTATAAATTTTTTTAATGATCTATAGACTTTTGTATACGGTCGAATCATTTGTTATAATATGTATTTTTTTTCATTGCGCTTAAGATACCTCTGAACCTGGTTTTTGAAAACAGTTGCGTTTAATAAACTTGAGTTTCTAAGTGGTCAAAAAGTTACTTGATAAGATTTCTAAGAGTTCGCATTATCATGGTCAATACATGTCAATACTTAGGTTGCCAGTGGTCATAACAGAAACAGTGACACTTATACTTACACGTATTTATACTTATACTTATACTTAAACTTATACTTATACTTATACTTATACTTATACTTATACTTATACTTATACTTATACTTATACTTATACTTATACTTATACTTATACTTATACTTGTACGTATACTTATACTTATACTTATACTTATACTTATACTTATACTTATACTTATACCTATACTTATACTGATACTTATACTTATACTTATACTTATACTTATACTCATACTCATACTCATACTCATACTCATACTTATACTTATACTTATTTGTAAAGAAAAATAATAATAATAAAAAATTTATTTTATTATTTTAGATTGTACGAAAAGAACGCTCACTGATTGTGCAAACAACGAATTGTGTCGAAGAGCAAGAATGGATTGATTTGCTGCATAAAATTTGCCTAACAAATTCTATACGCCAACAATATTTTCATCCTTCAGCGTTTGTAAATGGTTTCTACAGTTGCTGTTCACGATCAGATGAGAATGCAGCCGGATGCAAAAATGTATCGGCCGAAGCTATGAACTATTTTCAGATGGATTTGGTGACAGCACTCGATCCGGCACTTGATCTTCAACGTATACATACATTGATAATGTCGCATATGACACAATTAGAGGCATTACTCGATCCAATAGCTTTTAATCATTTACAACAACATAATCCACTTGTACGAACAGCAGTCACATTGCAACAACAATCGCCTACAGCTTTTGTGAAGTTCCGAGAAACCATTGAGCAACTACGAAGTGTAGCGTATATGATTGATAAGGATCATCGAGACTATAAACAAGGAATAGCGCGAGAATTGAAATATGGCAGTAGGCAGGCACCGATAGGCGATGATAATTATTTAATACTGCAACACCAGCAGCAATATCAGCCACAACATCAACAACAGCAACAGCAAATACAACAGCAGCAGCAGCAACAACAACAGCAACAACAGTCGCATGTATTACCACAAATGCAACTCGTTATGGCGCTTCCATATCAACAACATGCGCAAGGCAATATGAATGCATATTTAATGCATAATTTACAACCACAACAACAGCGACAGCAGCAATTGCAGCATCAGCACCAGCAACAACAACAATATTATTATCAGCAACAACAACAGCATTTATTGCGTGCATCAGCTACAGTTCATAATACGAATGCTTCCTCAAGTAATTCTTCCACTTCGAGCGCCGCACCAGCATTGTATCTGCGAGAAACTAATGCAGAACGCTATGCTAACAAGTGTTAAATAAGCAATAAAAACAACAACATGTTGTACCTAATATAAATCATAAAACAATATGTATAGGTACTTACTTTAAATGAGAAGTTGTAGGAACTTTTATTGTTTGATAAAACTTGTAAAATATTTTTATTATAAAATTTATAAATATTGTAAAAACAAGTAAGTCTATTAGAATCAAATTCAAAAAATAATTTATATCCTTTCAACATAGACATCTGTATTTGTAGATATACATTTATATATATACATAATATATATAAATATATTATATTATATTGTATAATTTGCCAATAAAGTTCCTTACAACTTATCATTATGAAGCAGCGAAAGTTCAAATTCTGTATAAATTTATGTTTTAAATATTTTTATATAAAAACTAACGAAATGCATACATATATATATATATATATACTTTACTTTATATATATTTTATAATTGCTAAGATAAGGAAACTATTTATTTTATACATACTATACACATGCTTATACTTATATATAAATATATGCATATATATTTACATATATGATATACAATGAAGATAAATTTTAGTAAGAATTAAAAGAAAAAAAGGAGTAAAATGAAAAATACAAAAAGAAATCAATTTAGTTTTAAACTCTTAGATTTTAAGTGTTACTTACTTTACAAGTATGTACATTTGTACTGCTATAATAGATACTAAACTCCAATATTGCATTATTTGCTTTAAGTTAGTTAAATAAGTAAAGAAAACATACTGTGTATTAGATGCATCATTATATCTATATATACATTTATTTATATTATATATTGTATATCTAATTAGTAAAATCTATTTTCTAAATTTTTAAAACTACTGAAATGCTTAAGTGTTAGTCTAACTATTCATTAAAAAAGCATTAAAATATGGGGCATAGTTAAGATTATTGGTTTTAAGTACTTTTAACATCATAAACAGTTTCCTCATAATAGCATTCATTTTTAAATATTGTTAATATACAATAGAAATACTTGCATCGATATGTAACACTTTTAGAAAATGTCGTAATAATTTCATAAATTAATTTTCATAAATTAATTTTGTTAATATTTCAATTTTTTATTTTTTATACGACTACTAAGTAAATGTTCTGTTTATATAGTAAAAGCTGTTTCTATCGAATGAATTTATTCTTTTCAATGCAGTGGTATATATAAGCGGGATAGGTTTAGAGCTCAAATTCCCATAATATATTTCATACCAGATGTAATGGATTTTTTGTATTAACTGTTTTCATACAAACTATGAGTTTATTTTAAAAAATCTTTCATTGAAATGTACCGCTGTATCAAACCACTAGTTCAAAGAACAAGTCGATTATTTGTAATAAAATTTGTATTAGCAAAATTATACAATATTTAAATTTTAAAAATCTAAAACTTGTATAATTCTAAATATCAGTGTTTTGAATACTGCTTTTTTTCTAAAGTACCTATTATTTAAATATATTTTTAATATAACTGCAACCGCATTTACTAATCATTGTGAAATTAACACTTCCAATTCATAAACTTTTATTAAAATAATTATTTAAAAAAAAATATTAACTTAAATTACGCTAAAATTCCTTACATTCAGCAAAAATTCTTAAAACCATGCCCTATAATTATTTCAAAATGTATAAATAAAAGATTATAACAGAAAACGCTTTAGTAATATAATTTTCCATCGAAGTATATATACGTTAACTTTTTAAGTTTTATTAATTTCTAAATTTTAATTTAATCAATTTAGTTGAATAATAAAAATATTCATATCAATTATAAATAGTTAAATACTTTTAAATGAATTAGCTTTTGATTTTATACATTGTAATTATTAAGCTAATATTTAGTAAAATTAATTTATATAATTATAAATGCATATACATTTACCATAGCAATTGCATACATAAATAAACCCATGATGCATACATTTACAAAATATATGAACTTAATAATTCGTCAATTCATTTTTAGCTAAACAATTAAGAATATATCTATATTAAGTATTAGCAATATGTTAATTTTGTATTTTTAGTAATTTTTTTCATATTTTCCACTATACATTTTTAACTCCTCTCTTCCATACATTTGAAATTTTACATATAATGATGGTCTTCCCTTAAATGATTCTTGTTAATTTTTTAACATTTAAAAAGAAATATTGTTTATTTAAAACTTTATTTAAAATTTTTGAATCTTATAAAAAAGTATTTTTTTTTATGTTTCACATATTGTTTTATGCATTCCATTATTTATTTATTTTTACATATTTTTTTCATGAATTTGCATTTATGCATATTGTCGTTTTAATCATTATTTTCTCATGTATAAATTCATAAACAATTTACTGCAAAAAAAAATTATTTTTTGTTTCAAAATTGTATATAAACAAACATTTAATTTATACGTAAAAGTTAAGTTTTACTTTGCTAATTTCTTATAGCAAATTCGTTAAAGTTTTCATTTTTTATACATGTATTTTCATGAGCATAGTTAAGATCTTATTTTTTTTTAAATTAGTTCATTAATTTTGTAAATTATAATTTATATTTTAAAACTAAGTTTAATTTTAATTTTATAATTATTTTTATTAAATTGGTACAAAATTTTTTAAATAAAACCCATATTACTTTTCCTGATTTGGTTTGTTTTGATTTTTATATATTTTAGGATTTAAGAATTTCTCACTGAAGCTAGACCAAAAAAGATAAACTCGGTTTAATATTATATTATTTTTGTTATCTTCAGTTGAGTTTATTTTTTAAGTTTTATATGAATAATATTTGATGTACCTGCTGGACAGAAACACCAACTATTTTTAACCAACTCAATATGAATTAAGTTAACTTTTAAAATTAACTTTCCTATATCATCATTGCTCTATGCATACCTTTCCCACGTGATCTCATTTTTTGGTGATCTTCACTTATCAGCAACCAAATATTTACTTCCTAAACTAAAGTGATAACCTTAACTTTGCCCATCAATATCGGTAAATTCAGTCCAAGCATAAATTCTGGATGTCGTAATCCTTTTTTGCACATGCCAAGGCTCTTGCAATTTGTTCATGCGATAAAGATAAAGCAATTACTGCATACCAATGGATCGTCTCCAACTTCGACCATCGACAATCTAATATGCTTTTTGTAAAAAAATATAGTCAACGCCTGTTCAAGCAATACCTTTTTACGTAGCACACAGATGGACCATTTAATGATATCAAAATGTATTTGTCGAGCAACTTCTTCATATCATGGATATATCGACTACATCGAATATGAATATGGGCTAACACAACCCTTCATACAGATGCAGTTTTAGGCTCAGATAGGCCGAAACTTAAAAGAAAGACCAACTCAAAAACCACATTTAAGGAAAATTTTATTTCAATATCTCTACTGGTTCAGAAAGTACAGAATTTTGATCAGCTAACTTCTGTTTTGTCGCACTGTGCCACGATTGCACAGCAACAAAGTTGTCAATAGACCCCCGCCTAACATTTCTCAGACAAAACGACGCATTCCAAGTACAGGAAAAAGGATGAGGATGTACTAATGTGCTAAACTTTTCAATCTCAACCATAAATGCTTCAATTCCCAATGTGTGTCCTAACTGCAGCTCCTAATGCACGGACAAACTTGAGTCCAATCGATCTTTGAACCCTCTCCATTTAAGTGGCGAGGTTTCTCCGCCTTGATTCTCGTTTAATTCAATTTAAATCCCCAATCCATCGTTACTCCTTAACAATCACCTCTTTTCTCACATTAACATTTCTTATCCATATCCTAACCCTTTGTGATTCCTTTAATATTATCTATTTTTTAGATAACAACAACCTGCGAGCTTTAACAATAACATCATTGTTCTTGTTGTGTTGTGGAGGGGGCGCGTACAGCAAAAGATCGCAGAAGAAATACAAGGGTTAGATGAGGGTTAGATGGTTCGTAGAAAAGTAGGTGAGAGGAGAAGAGACGTCCCAGCAGGAAATAGGTGTTAATGTTTCGATCAATGCCTTTATACATCAATTTAATTTATGTTTTTCTGTAATCCATTATTTTTTTATTATTTTAGTTATTCTTAACCGTATCAGTAAATTTAAATTTCTTCTTTTTAATTGAAGACTTCGAACAAAACAAAAAAAATTAGCAAAATAAACTTATTTGTGATATATTTTTTTTAGTATATTTTAAAAAATATATGCATATACCTTATTAGTATATATATAACATTTAATTCTTGTACCTAGATAACGTAGACTTAGAATGCAATTCGAATTGAATTCACAAAGCAATATTCATCAAGCAATCACTAAAAAGTTTAGTAAATAAGTCCTTATAAAAAAAAAACAAAAAACGAAAAGCAATCAATTATGTAAAATGTTTTTAAAAACGTTTTTAATAGTAAATATAATATATAAAATATATTATAAAGTAATTAAAATGTGTATTTCTTTTTTGTAATTATATTAGAAAAGCAAGTAGCATCGAAAAAGCAAGATTGGAAAAGCATCACCCTTACACTATTTCAATTAACGAATTTCAGCAATTAAATCCCTAATTGTTTATCTATTAGTTGCATATTCCA